TTGTCTCCTTCGATCGTCACGATCCCAATTTCCTTACGCATAACAATTGAGCGAGTGTTGTCGTCGTACTCAGTTTGTTGCGGTGGTGAGGTATTGGTTTGTTGTTTTTTTTTTTTTTTGCTCTTCTGACTCTCGGATACATTCGGCCAAGTATCCTCTTCGAATGAGTGCTTCGATCTCAACTCTGAGGTTGAAGCAATCATTCGTCATGTGACCCGTTGCCCTGTGGAAATTGCAGTGCTTCTTGTGGTCTCGCATGTGTGGTGCGGCTTTAACTGGAGTAGGCCAGTTGAGACAGTAGCCTTTTTCTTGTATGAGGAGGAATATGTTCTTCACTGTGTCGTTGAAATGTTTAAAGGTGTTTGGCGGATGTATGTCCAGCGAGCGTCTACGCGTTGCTTGCTACGGCGGAACGAGCAGTCTACTCGCCCCGTTGTGGCGTTGTGCGAGTTGTTCGAGCGGTATGGGGAGTTGGCTCGACGTCTTCTCTTATCTGATTGGTTTTGACGGCTCGAAACTTCATACGATTCTACGCCGAGGGTCTCCTCTAGTTTGATAGCTTTCTTAACCTTGACTTCCAACTCCGTCGAGAGTGTGACTGGTCTTTTTGCCAATCCTTGCTTAAGTTCCATATTGGCGGTAGCTTCCAAGAGGTGGTGAGCGGCGGTTTTGGGTGTGAGGTCTCACACTGCCATGGCGATTCTGGACCATCTGGCGTAAAACGCCCTTAGGCTTTCCTCATCTTTTTCCTTAATGTCGATTAATGCCTTGAGGTGGAGCGATTTCCTCTTTTTGGGAAGCTAACTTGGTTGTGAATAGCAGCATTAACTCATCAAAGGAATGAATTATTTCATTTGGTAGCCTGTTGTACCAGTCGAGACATATGGCGACGAACGTTAAGTACTCGCAAGTGGGGGTTGGCCGTGCCTTGGCTTAGTATTTTGTTCTCGTGGTGGTAAGTGTTATTGCTGGCGCGACTGGACCCGAGTCATAACAGATACCAAGCTGGCAAGACTAGGTTGGTGGCCCCCCTAATAGTGTACCAAGCCGACAGACGACATTGTACCAACTTGATAAGGTTCCAAAAACTAAGTATGAAGACCAAGCCGTAGTGATGGCAATGGGGCGGGGCGGGGCGGGTACCTCAATTCCCATGCCCCGCCTCAGCTACTACGGGTCGGGGCGGGTAAAACCCGCGCGGGTACGGGGTGGTGCGAGTCGACCCACTCTTACATGTTGTTCAAAAAAAATACAAGTAAATTTTACTTTTTACAATAAAACGTAGGGAAAAACACTTTAAGAATAAAAAATATTGATAATAGAATGGATAATTGAGTCTAACAAGTTGAAAGATCGACTCTAACTAATTGAAGAAAAGTCAAAATAGAAGAAATATGTATAGATATTGTAAGACTGGGCGGGTCGGAAGTAGATACCCATGCCCCGCCCCACGTTACTGCGGGTCGGGTAATACCAGCCCCATCGCGGGTCAGGTCGGGTAATACCCGCGGGGCGGGTTGAAATTGCCATCACTACCAAGCCGGCAAGGCTGGCTTGGTAGTAGGGGCCGACATGACTTGCTTAAGAATTAAATTTCATCCGAATGGGGTCATGAATTCCGAACGTAATCCAATTAAACAAGGATATACACATATATAACCATTTTAATTTAACTAAGTGGGATCCCAGGACCCCACTCCTCTCTACCTCCCTCCGCCACTAGACTTAGGTGAGGGGCATGTGTGTCAAGCGACACACCTTCGCCCGAAATATTAGTGACAAATTCGTGTTTCTTCTTTACAAAAATTTGAATCCATGTCTATAACACGCCTCTAAAATTTTTAATTGACACATTTGTTGCAATCGCTAGCTGAGAAATTGTACTTTTTACTATGAATTTACTCGAATGATTTTTTAAATGAAATTAATGATTAATTTATCTATAATTATTCGGCTATATACATTGAAACCCAAAATTTGAGTTGCAAAATAAATTATGTACTTCACAAAAAAAAATATAAAAGGTCATTTTGCCTCATTATGAAAAACAATGAAATTTGTACTCTACTGATAAGATTTTTATTCTTTTTTATTTTTTATTGTTCCGATAAGAGTTAAAAACTAGAAATAATATAAATATGAAAGGCTACAATAGAAAGAAAAAAAATTTACTTGAGAGACATGGATGATAAAAGTCCAAAATTGAGGTACCAAGTTGTACCCCGTATGGCAAAGACAGATATCACGGATCACCATACGGAGAAGGGAAGGATTGTCCATTTTCTCTGTTTCTACCTTACCACAGTAAAAGTCGGTGAAAACATTGTTAATGATTTAACGCATCAACTACTCTTCTACTAGCACTTCCAGGAAAAAATCCCAAGTTACACATGTTTTTAAAAAAAATTCTCAAAATACACACGTTATGAAAATAATTCCCAATCTACGCATGTTTGGGCCATCACCGCTTTCGACGAAGACAGTGATTGCATCACCGCTTTCGACGAAGACAGTGATTGCATCACCGCTTTCGACGAAGACAGTGATTGCATCACCGCAGTACACTACCGCGGTGAAGGCCTGACCTGCGTCGAAACTTTAAACAAACGTAACTTTGTGCTCGGTTATCCGATCGTAGCGAAATTTTTTTTGATTCCGCATAATTTTTTGAGATCTTGCAAGCCGCAAATTGCCGTAGGTGGTTTGGTCCCGCCTTCGTCTCGAAAATATGTCGTTTGCTACCCCGAACGAGCCTTTTTCGATTTCGTCAAACTTTTAACGACCATAACTTTGTGCTCCACAATCCGAAAATCATGAATTTTTTTTTATTTCGCATAACTTTTTAAGGACTACAATTTTTATCATAGACATATTTTCAGAATGTACTTGGATTCCTGAAAAGGAAGGTAAAGTTATTCCCAAAACCCCTTATATCTGTGTAGTTACGTTTGTTTAAAGTTTCAACGCAGGTCAGGCCTTCACCGCGGCAGTGTACTGCAGTGATGCAATCACTGTCTTTGTCGACAGCGGTGATGCAATCACTGTCTTCGTCGAAAGCGGTGATGCAATCACTGTCTTCGTCGACAGCGGTGATGGCCCATACATGCGTAGATTGGGAATTATTTTCATAACGCGTATATTTTGAGAATTTTTTTAAAAAACATGTGTAACTTGAGATTTTTTCCGTACTTCAATTCTTCCAATCACACCGCAAGAAGAAGAAGAAGGGTTGTCAATTATATACGGTCTAAAGTTGCGAAAGGAAGAGATTGGACTTTTTGGACAACCTGCGATAAAGTTTAAGTGGGAACTTTCCCCCCCCCCCCCCCCCCCCCCCCCCCCCCCCCCCAGTAGTCTAGTCGCCCACACACTGCACACTGACACAAAACACAAGTATACATACATTTCTTTGTCTCAATTGACAACACAAAAAGCTATAACTGTCATTACCAATGACAAAAATCTTGGGTGCAAAGTTATGGCCAACGTTGCTTCTCCGGCAAATTCCCTTTTCTTCCTCAATTTCCCAATTCTAATTTCATGGAAAAATGGCGTTTCCTTTGCCCACCGTCCGCCTGCCATTAATAATTTTCACATGCGGCGCCACCATCACAATATAATTAACGCTACTCCTCCACACCCTCTCCATTCTCTCTCTAATTGTCTCTTAGTTCCCTCCTCCCACGTTTTCCTGTCTTGATTACTAGTATTATTACCCGCGCGAGCGAGCGAGCCACGACGCTTTTATCATATCACTCAAGTCATTAGGTGAATGTCGTGTCAATATTTTTAGAGATGAAACCGATCATACATTTTATGTGAGTCCAATCTAAAGACTGACACGCACACTTATGCGAGGAATAGTATGCGGCTGTAGAGCGTAGACCAAGAAGAACATTCATTAAGAAAAATCATATTCCCAATTTTTCTTTCAAAATTTGTTTTCCCCGGAAAAAAAAAATTTGGTGCAAGTAATTGGAAACAAAAGGGATGCACCTCTTTTTGCCTAATAATTTCCCAAGTGCCCATCTTTCATCACCGAAAGTGGATAGGAGTCCCAGAAACCATTTTTAGGAATCCAACGTATAACTTTCGTAATTAATTATTTAAATGGGAACTGGTAATTTATTTATGTTAAGAATTGTTTGGTGCTTTGTCTCTTTTCACCGGAAAGGAGGAAACCTTTTTCCGATACAGTGAAACCTATCAATTTCCGGGCATAAATACGGTCGGCACTCCACAAACTCTCCCCCAATTTATATATTTCTTTCCGGCGGAAAATACTGCCGCCCCCTCTAAACCATCTTTTTGGGGCAGAGTAATGATCTCTTCTTCAGAGTTTGTCACCTAATTAACTCGGAATCATCCCACTAATACAAATACTTAATTATGATTAACTTCCCACCTCAGTCAAAACGATAAAACAAAATGAAAATCTTCAGTTATTATTAAATTTATTAAAAATGGGTCTGAATCTAGACGAGTTACTAGGAATCCACTTAGTTGCGTATATTGTCCTGTAATAAAACATTAAAATGTCTTTGACTTCTTGAACTTCAATCGTCTTGACTCTTTACACTCCATTATTGTAGGAGTAGTCCACTCATTAATTCTAGTAACGGTTTGGAGTGCACATCATTAACAAAGTTATTAAATTCACATAATTAGACATTAAGAAGAAACTGTACTTTTAATAGTGCAACTCGAAAAAGAGAGAGACTTTTTCATAAATAATGATGATTTGTAAGCGTTTAATACCAACGATTATATTTCCCGCCCAAAAACAGGAGTCTTATTAATAGAAACTAGATCAATTTTGCTTCACTTAACATTCCTTTTTCCACTTAACATTAAACCTTAAGAAAAAAATTTTAAAAATAGCCCATGAATTTCGAATACGTTATTCTACGACACAGTAACTGCTACCATATTGATAAATCGGAGTCCTGATATTCTAAGTATAATCATATGATGGTACCGTGGAATATAAGGGTACGAGCAAAAAGCTGTGAATTTCATTATTTACAAGGCATGAGTTAAAATTTACGAGCAATTTAACAGGAAAAAAATATACAAGAAGCCAAAAAAAAAAAAAAACGTAATATGTAACGAAATTTTGATATTATGTATATAGATATAATGAAAGTTGAAGCAGGAACCAACTGAGCTCGATTCTACTGTTCAAAAGCTACAAGCTGGTCTCTGGAAATCAAAGAACAAAGCAAACACTACTAAAATAAAGGGGAAAAAGGGTATTAAATATTTTAATTCCCCCAGGAGATTCCGGGGACTGCCATCCCTCTGGTAAATATCTCCCGGTAAAAATTTCCCACCAGATCAAACTGTAAATTTTTTTCTTCTTCTTCTTCCGGACCTAACTATCTACTGCTCTTTACTCTTCCGGCGCCCGCTGCTACGCCTGAGTAGCCAAGTCCTTGGATTCCACAAACGTGCCGTGAAACCCATATGGGACTCTGGACGGCAACTGGACGGAAGCCTCGAGCTGCATGGTAACGGCGTTAACTATCTGCAGCTCCGACGTCCAGTTCTCCTCGTCGTGGACGAAGGCCAGAATGTAACCCTCGTCCTCCTTTTCACCGCCGCCGCTTGGCAGGAAAAGCGGCTCCCCTCCGTACTTACCGTCGCCGTAAATAAATTTTTTCACCTCCCCGTTAAAAAGGTCCACTTTCGCGAACCCGGACACCTTGGGCCAGGGCTCCGCAATGGCCAGGTAAGCGAACCGGGTCTTCCGGCCCAATAGGTTCCGGTTCACCATCCCTGCCTCCAAATTCACCTGCTCTGTTTCCTCCCGAATTATCGGGCGGCGCGTGGACTCCCCTGTTTTCAAATTCAGCCTGATCTCCGACAGCACGCTCGTCAAGCTTTCGTCGCTTTCGTTGAAAATCGAGTCCGGCGGGGTCATGCAGGAACCGATCACCACCACCTCGTCGGTTTCGGGCTCCTCCCACGCGTTCCACAGGTGGAAGCAGAAAGTCTCCGGCGAGTCGATCCAGATAATGTCGTCGGCGGTGGTGGCGTCTTTTCGCAGGATGCCGAATCGGGAGACTTTTTCCTTGTCGTAGATGACAGGGGATCCGCCTTTGATCATCTCCTGGAGCTTGAAAACCACCTGCTGGTCGGGGATCACGACGAAATTCTCGGTGATCGCGAAGTCGTGCATCATCGTCGGCACGGGCAGGGGAATGTCGACGTCGGGCGATTTCTCCCCCTCCGGGGAGAATCGGAAATATTTGAGATAAGGTTTCTGAACGACGTCGTAGCTCAGGGCGAAGAGCTCTTTCGAGGAAGGGTCCAATTTCGGGTGGGCGATCATTGTGGTGGTCAATTGGCCGTCGAAATTGTACCGGCCCACCGTCTCGAGATCGCCGGCGGGAGTGATCCGGACCTGGTAAGGGATGTCGTCCTCCGACATCGCGAGCAGCCGGTCGTTGAAGTAGACGAGGCCGGCGTTGGCGACGCCGGTGCCGTGGGTGTGATCGAGCAGGCCGAACAGTCCCCTGGCGTAGAAAAGCAGCAGCCTGGCGACGCCGGAGTGGCCGTGTAGCTCGCCGATCGCCTTGGGGAAGACCGGCCGGCCGAGATTCTTCTCCTGCTTGAGCCTCTCTGTTTCCGTGAAGCGGCAGGCGTAGCTGGCCTCGCCGCCGGCGATGGTGACGGCGTGGACCATGCCGTCGCCGTCGAAGAAGTGGTGGCCGGAGACGGGCTCGAAGTGCGGGTTGGCGCCGTTACGGATGTAGACGCCGTCAATGCAGTGCGGGATGGTCCCGGTGGTCACGGGGAGGGCGTGGACGACGGGCTGCTCGGGGACCGGGGCGAAGTTGCCGGCAATCTGGACACGTGGATCGGCGGTCTTGGGGAGCGGGCGCTGGCGCTCGCGTGATAGCAACGCGCTCTCGGCCATGTCGAGCGCGTGGGCGGCCGCTCTCTGGAGGAAAGTCCAGGGAGAAGAAGAAGAAGACTGTTGTTGTTTTTGTTGTTGGTGGTGGGGGCGGTGGGGGTTGGGGTTGGCGGTTACGGTTTGGTCCTCCCTCGTAATTATTGGCGCCTGGTAGGGCTGTTTTGGGAAATGGAGGACGGAAGGGGAGTGAAGGGCGCAGTGAACTTCTGATTTACAGTTTTTGGCGTTGCCGGAGAAGGAGACCGACTTCACATCCAATTGCGGAGCAAAAGAAGAAGAAGATAGTAATTGAGCTGTTGTAGGCAATTTACTGGCGGTGGTGAGGGCGGCGGCCATGGCTGAGACCGGAAGAAGCTCTCTGTATGGAGTTTTGAGAGTGAATTTTTTTGGAGAGAGAGAGAGAGAGAGAGTGAAGAAGAAGAAGAGAGAGTTGGAATTGAATTTGAGGAGGAAAGGAAAAGGGGGGAGGAGAGGGTTTAAATAAGGGGAGGGATGTTAAGGTCCACCTCAGACGCCTGAGGGAAGACCACGTGTTTTGGTTTTCTTCGTAAGGCGCTCATGTTTGGGTTTTTTTTTTAAATTTTATTCAAGTGCCAATAATTATTTTGCTTCGTAAGGGAGAGCTGCTGCTGAGCAAAAGCGTTTTATCATTATTTTGACTTTGTGACCCAAAACCAATTTTTTTCGGTGTTGAGGATGGAAGGAGCGACTCTCTCCAAACGTGGAACTCAAGGCTCTCTCTCTCATTCCCGCGTAGTAGTGCGCTTTTCACTAGTTACTACTGCTGGATTTTAAACCGTTACGAATGGAATGGGCAGCCACAACAAGAGATGAAAAGGACAACCAGTAAATGTCCACAAACAGCAACTCTATAATGTTCTGTGTTTACTACTACTACTCAATGTCAATTAAACCGCGTTGACCCCTGTGCTTGTTGTGCAACAACATTTGTAACCACTTTCTGTCCCACGACAAAACAGGCTAATGGCAAAATCGTACCAGTGGTTTGACTGAAAATTTGTTTATCTAAGTTTAAGTTAATAGGTGATTTTGGGGTATGAATGGTTGAACCACGATTAAACCACACTTTTAACACAAAATATCATACCACTAAATATTTTGGTTAATATTTTACAATCGTTGAAAAAAGTAGGTGCACTACACATACGGATTAAACATATGTTTGATGGACTTCCTCTTCTAACCTTGTTCACTAGCCTTTTAGAAATGAGAGAGAGAGAGAGACGATGAGCGTCAAAAGAATGATATCTGGAATCAGACTTCACCGAAATCATATAATCTAAAGAACATTATTAAATTTTCATTTCCCCGTCTTTAGTACATGAGATTTTAGGGTCTATATACTCAATACAGCTAAGGAAGATGAAATTACCTCTCCTAACGATAGAGATATTCATTTAATGGGATTCCTTTTTCTAATAAATGTTTGTTCAAACAGAGTTAGATTATCAATTCCTTTCTTTATATTAAATGTGAAAAAGTCTCGTTATCAAACAACAAGTTTTTCAGAATCCATGTTAAACAATTTCGAGAATTAATATCTCCTAATTCTTTAGAATCATCGGAGTTTAAACTCATTTAAGAATTGGGATGGAAAAAAATAAATACATATTTCTTTTTCAATTCTCTTTACATCTTGAAGGGCACGTATCTTCTACACTAATTAAGTTGGCAGAAACACTCACCATCGGAAAGAAAAATCAATGACTTCCAGACGTTTGGACATCCCAGAGTTTCTACATTTCAAAACAAAGCCGAAATGGTGGGCTTGGAGCTAACCTTTCCTATGTGTAGTTACATCAGAAATCGTCGATCATGGAAGGAAACAGGCAAAATAATTAAAGTTACGCAAAATCGCGTGAAAGACTCTGTTCCAATGAATAAAAATCAGGGGAGTTATATGTTGCTTTCCGTCTACAGTTCACAGCCAATATATGATTATGGGATTATTGCTATTCTATGGTTGTAATGTTGGAGTTTTTCCTTGATGCAATTGGTTTAAGCTCTTGACAGACCTTTTGGGGAGAAAGGTTCCATGTGGGGTTCCATTAATTTCTATATTCAATTGCGATCATCATGTAGTTAATTATTTTTTTAATCATCATTTTGTTCATTATTATTCTATATTTTATTAAGGTTTTGATAGTTTATAAATCTTTCGGTATCTTCATACGGATGTTCAACATGTTATACGTATCTTATACTTTACATGTTTAGTGCAAGAAAAATAAGACTAACTAATAAAACAAAGTAAGACACGGATAAGTAATATTAGCTTCTCTATACATATGACATGATGCGACCTCAGCTCAGTCCCGGCCACAAGACAACGAAGGGAAAGAATGAGATTCGCATGCCAGTTGTGAACTCCTCTCTTGTTGTCGACATGAGAGCGATTGTTGTGGAGCTTCCATGGATATGCTTCTAACTATATATAGATAAGTAACATATAAAATAATCTTGAACTACCCGTCCGAACGATTAGATGTTATCAGAATGTGAATCAAAGTTAATTTGGTGAATAATTGAGAGATAATGGAACACTAAAGTGGTCTTAAAATGACAGTTAGAGAGAATAGAAAATGGTTTAATTTGCATTTTTCCATTGACATGCACTCCTTCTTTCCTTGGTCATCCTCTCTTCTCTTTCCCACCTAATTAATGGGACTGGAGTAGTAATGTTGTTTAATGATAAAGATTAAGGAGGGCCAATGGGAAAGAGGGAGAGAGTCAGAGATACACACTCTTTGTCTTTGTGTTGGAAAGCTGACCAAATTTTTGTAGGAGGAAAAGGTGGCCGGTCGGTTGTAATTAGCAGTGTGAGTGAAGAGTGAATTAGAAAGGGGAGGGAAGGATTATCACTAATTAATCAATTATTATTGATCAGATTAGGAACTCATTATCAGAACTCCGCGTTCTCTCCTCTTTTCCTGATGAGGTATATAGATTATTAGTGCAGTGCTTTCCACTTCCAAAAAGCAAACACTGCTCACGTCTCTCTTTTCCCCCTCCAAATTCTAGTTTGTTGGGTTTTCAATTCTCACGATATACAAAGATAAGAGTAGGGATGGCAATGGGTAGGGTCGGGTGCGGGTTTACCGTATACCAACTTCTAACACGTCCGGTAAAGCCTTCTAAAATACCCGGTTAAATAATCACCGGGTATTAAAATTATATAACTAAACCCTACCCACCGGGTAATCACGGGTATTCGGATAACCACGGGTACGAATGCTAAACTATGAACTTATACACATATATGCACACACATACTGTTGTCCATTAAAAATTCTCAATACTTGTAACTGTTATAGCTTCAACAATCCACACAAATAAAAACAGCAAACATAATAATCGTCTACATCTTCATCATCAATAATGGTAGCTAAACTAAATTTCTCAAGCTAAACTAAATTTCTCAAGGGAAATTGACCCTTTGGTTAGCGGGGCGGGTATTATCGATTACCATACCCGTACCCTACCATTTATTTTGAAACCGGGTATTACCCGTACCCGCCCCTTAACCCGTCAAAGCGGGTAATTATCCTCGTTGACCAGTTACGGTCGGGTAGGGTACCTATGGTTACGGGTTGGATTGACATCCCTAGATAAGAGTCAATGAAGGATAAGCATTGGTAGTGGTCAGGGTTTAAGAAGACCGTAATTTTGCGTACGTTTAGGAGTTATGGATATTAGACAGTGATAAAATGGCTCGTCCAAGTTAGCATGTGTGTTTTTCATAATATTGAATTGGAAATTTTAGTAATTTATTGTTTAGTGGTTAATCGTTTGAAAAATCGTTGGTTAATAATTAATAGAATCATTCATGCGCCATAACATAAAAGAGTTATATAACACTAAAAAAAAAATTATCAATTTAAAATTCATATAATCTATGATAAAAAGTTCTAACAAATAAGATTGGTAATTCGGGTTGGACTTAGTTTACGTTAAAATATTTTTTTTGTGATGTAAATTAATGGACCAGTCAAATTGTAGTTGTTCATATGATTTTACGCCAAAGCGTAACAAAATCAACTGGTTCATCGCTAACCAGTCAAATAAACCAAACCAAACCTCTATTTCAACTGATTTGATGATTTTACTGGTCATCCGCTCAATATGTGCAAGACCTTTTGATATTTATTTATTATCTTTAATAGCTATACATCTATACAAAAAAAAAATTAATCTTGGTTCTTATTTCTTGATAAGATCGAGTAGGTTTGAGAGAGAGAGAGAGAGAGAGAGAGAGTTGAAAAGGGTGTTATATATTGTATGTTTTTATATCTCTAGGTGCGTTGAAAATATTGTTAAGAGTGTTGACCAAGAGAAGAGAAGAGAAGAGAAGAGAAGAGTGGTATAATTGGTAGAAAGAGAGGAGAGGAAGGGAAGAAGGAGGACAGTATGTTGGTGTTGGTGTTGAGTTTTTTCCCGCCACGTGGCCGTTTCATAGATAAGCCCAGCCTCCAGCCTACCCATTTTGATTTTGATTTGCAGCTAAGGAAAGAAGAACCCAACCCGGCAGTAAGGGCAAATATCGAATTGCTCCCCACACCTACATGACACCATCACTCACTCACTCACTCATCCCCAATTACATTATTATATTATAATAAAATAATGTTGATGGGAGAATAGTAATGGTGTATGTTAACGTTGACGTAGACACACATGATCCCAACCCATGGGACAACAGAAACTCTCTCTTTCTTTCTCTCTCTCACTCACTCACTCACTCACTCACTCTCACCTTCCCGTTTCTGTGTTTCTATAAATAAAAAATGGTCTGGTATGAAGAGAAATCTTGTGTTCGAATACCGTATATCATGGCCAACCACCATTCACAGGCAAATCTCTAGATGTTTAATCGATGCTTGTTTAATTTGCACAATTCTTTGATAAATACGTCTTGATTGTTTGATACAGAATGACGTCTTCTTACTCCGCAGCGCTACCGCATACATACATAATGCAACAGAAGCCTCCATAAAGTAAGGAAGACATTAGTATCTCTATCTATCTCTTCATCGTGATTTCTTTTCTTTTTTTTATTTTTATTTTATATCATCAAGTCTCTTATAGGGAATCTGCAATAGCTTGTGCGTGCCACATACCCTTCAATCTTCATTCTTAAGCCGCGTCACTACAGTATAGTATCATCTTGTTTTCTATGCATAAAAAATACAAAGATGACCATGGTTTTGCATCATATATAGACATGTAACCAGAAAATGACGGTGTGGGGACGATACGTACGTGAATGAATGGGCATCATATCATTATCATGTTCAGTTATCAACTCAACTCAACTCAACGGCAGTCCCCAATCCACAATCAAAATCACGTTCCTAGTCCTAGCTAGCTACCGAGCAACCTCTCCTTCCCCTTCATTATTGGATGTGGATCATATCATGTCATTTCATGCCCATATAATATAATCACAAGAAATTAAATCACCATGTGAAACAACTACGTACCTATATTTAGAAGCGTGCCTCTCCGTAGCTGTGTACTACGATACTCCTAATGTTTACTACTCCATCGGTCATAAGTATTTCTATCTATTCCATCTTTTACGTAAGATTAATTTATTCCATGCGTCGTGGTCGTCGTCGTCGACAGAGCAAGCTGCAAGTGTTATCGACGACAAGACAAGTTAAGTTAAGTTGACGGTCCCCTATGCGCATGTGTATACATACATAGATAGGGTCGGAGGTTGATGAGCTTAGTGCCCTTGACGGCAAGTAATATAAAGCTCTCTTTGTTTTTATCGCACAGATCCCTGAAAAACAACAAAAACAAAAAACCAATTTCTGATTATATATGCATGGCTGCAAGCGGTCCTGTGTAGTTAGTTGCCTTCGAAGTCACTGTTCACTGCAGGGGGCCACACCCACACCCCTTCCATTCTTGCTCTGAAAATGATGCCCACTTAACTTAATGCATATACCTACATCCTTCTCATTCCTCTCTGTTGGACTTCATGATATAGATAGCTGATATCAATGTATATATTCAACTTAATAATTAACAACGACAGATTAGTACTTAATCTTCTAACTGGCCAGGAAGCTAGCTAGGGTTATGGCTGCTGCTCTGCTGCTGCATATCAAAATCTCCGAGGAATGTGTTAACTCCACTAGATGTCTAACGTTTATTTGTAATATGCTAATAGCTGGCTTTTGGTTTAAGCATCTTTTGATTGTATATATAACACAATGAGTGTTTATTCTACATCCCTTTTCTCGATGTGTTTGATTACTGGAAGATTGTTGTTATTTACTTTTAATAGTGTTCGTATCGCGTTCATAAAGAAACGAGAACAATAAAAGCCGTTTTATTACTATATAAGAGTAGATGCAAGTTGAGTTTTTATTTTTTAAAATAATTGTATTCCCTTTAAAACGATTGAGATTGAACTCATTTTTGGAAGGTTTCTCATTCAAGTTTAGTAATTTTCTAGTGATTAAATTTGGAAGGATAATGGTCACTTCACAGGCATAGATATTTTGGATATCCTATTCAGGAAGAACATGTACAATGGACACAGATGCTTCTTTCTTCCCTTACGATATCGATGTCTGCAAATGACTATCAATTTTCATTATTTAAACCCAACTAATAAAACAAATCGCATACTAACAATCGAACCGATGTGTGTAGATAGAGGTATGTAGGAAAAGTCTGTATTGGCCGTGGCCGGTACAATGTCGTCATATTGTCTAGCCACAGTAACATCTGTGAGTTTTTCGTCGTTAGTATTTCATCGCTTTTATATTATCTTTAACAACCTCGATTAAAGCTTGAATTGTTGTAATATGACTGAATATGATTCTACTAACTTCTCCGACGCAATTTTGATTATGTAGCTACTAGCATGAGCCCTAGAAAGAGTTTGGTATGACCGGATGCGGGTGGAAGCTAGGGGTAGATATTAGTGGTCCAGTAAGATGACTAGTATCTGTAATGGACTAAGATCCATGAAGTACGAATCGAATAACTGAAAGTTATATCATATGGTTGGAAAAGAGCTGACAGAAACAAGACGATAGCCTCCACAGTCATATATATAGTACAAGCAAAGGGTAAAGCTAAGGCTCATCTTTCTTCACATATCAGCGGCTTCGCATCGCCAGACAAATCCCCTTTTGGAGATGGTGATAAGAGCTTCGGCCAGCTTTTAATATTGGACGTACCTCATTCGTACCACCCAAGTTAATTTGGCAGGTAATTAACCCTTCTACTAATTTTTTTGTGAATCATAATAAACTTCACTTGTTCTAATTCCTACTACGTACTTCCAAATTAGCTGTGTCCTCTTACATATATAGCTACAGAATTTGGTGGAGTTAAAGTTGGGACAAAACTAAGTTAACTATAATTTTTATACTAGAACATCCTTATGATATATATTAATTAATTTGCGATTCCATTTGTGATTTTTGCTCCTACCTCAACCATTTTAGTAATTATACTAAACCATTTTAACTTCATTTCAGTATAAATACAATTTACTTGCAATTAAAACTGGTCGTCCCGTTTGATTTTTTTTTAATACAACTAAAAATGTATGAATCGAAAACTAATAAATAACTAGGTAAAGATTAACAGTGTGGAGATTTTTCATGAATAATTACACCTTTAAATTATGGATTGCAAGCCACATGACTCTATTAATGTTTATGTAGTCTATATGTCATTCATCAATATATATTATGTTTAGTTGTACTGTAAAAAAAAAATCAGTTGGATACACCATTGCAAGTGAATTCTATCTGGCATACTGCATATGTGATACAAAATTGAAACGAATGTAATTGTTAAAATTGTTGAGTTGACAATAATAACTACAATACATGAAATTGCAAATGAGGTGTATTGATAAGGACAATTATCTTACACTTCTAGGTAGGCCTATCGGTTCGGGTCGGGTAACCGAACCCGAAAACCGTGAAAACCCAAACCCGATCCCCCACAACCCGAAACCGAAACCAAACTGTGCTTTGTGGGTTTCGGGTGCTGGAACCTGAAATGTATGCTGGCAGGTTTGGTTCAGTTCGGGTGAACCCGAAACCGAACCGTTTTGAGTTTTTTGTTTTTATTTTACTTTTGTGATTTGAATTTTACATTATTTTGCTTGTACAAACAATTTTATACTTATTATTTGTACATTCTTATTTAACCATTATGTTTAATTTTATGGGACGTGGACAGTATAAAACTAATATTTACATATTAGTTAATTATTAAAATATTTAATTTTATGTATTCTATAACTATAGACATACTATTAACTATTAAAGAGTATTAGTAGTTTAGAGACAAAGTAAAATACTTAAATATATTTTATATGTAACTTAATCATATCTTATTTAATTGTGGATTTTCGTATAATTAAATGTTTTAGTAATACCATAGGTCCGAAATTGAAGGTATATCAACTATCATATGCAAAAAAAAATTTGGTGTTTGACGCAAAATTATAAATAATTTTGTTCAACATAAAATACCGACAATCATAGATGAGATTATCTTCAACTTGTAATTAAACACATTAGTTTTACAATTCTCAAATGATAACATCCAAGTAAAATAAAAATCCATCCACCATACAATATAAACACTACTACCATTATCACTCCTCATTAGGCTCTACATCTACTTAAGTCTCATCATTCTCATCAGAATTGTCGTCGACATAGTCTTCTTCCACTTGTGACATAGTAGGACTCGGGACCAAAACATGGGTAGTAGGAGAGCTTCCACTAGGTCCTGCACGAGAGCTTACACTAGGTTCTGCAGGTGCACTTGCACTCCGAGCTTGAAAAGCTGGATATACTGGATAACATAAACAATAACAACTTGTTAGAATATGACTTGATCAAGATAACAAATATAAGAATAAAAAGAAAGATTAAGCCTTTACCATTTTGAAATACCACTTCATCACCCTCATCTTCTCCATCAGCCACCAACTCAGAGTCTGAAGATCTTATCCAATCTTCACAACAAATCAAAGCCTCCACAACTTCAGGGGATAAGGAGGTCCTAAACGAATCTAAAACTCGACCTCCTGTGCTGAATGCCGACTCAGAAGCAACAGTGGAAATAGGAACAACAAGAATATCCCTAGCCATCTCAGAAATAGTAGGATATTTCATCCCACTTCGCGATCACCATCCCAAGATGTCAAACTTGTATTCATCCTCTTATGAACCCACCAATGCTTGTGTAACCACTTCATCTTCCTCCTTCTCCTCAAGGTACCTATCAAACTCAGATTTGGAACTTTTTCTAGTTCCTTTCAGAATGGCCTCTCTTTTCATTTTCCTAAAATCACCTCAAATCTTCCCTTTCTTCTTCCCATCCCCACTTCCACTAGGTTCTTGCACATCTTCCTGAATCACAATGGGAGAACTGCCAGGAAGTCCGAGCCTATGCTTGTGGTCAAACAGAAGATACATTTCATCTTTCACCTCTTCGACCAAAACTTTACCCCTGCTCTCACCATATACCTTCTTCAAAGCTTGTTCAAGATATTCAACCATCTTCCTAGGATCTAATATGACTGCCATATAACACAACCGATTCATCTTGTAATTCTCCAACTCATCTTCAAACCAATACTTGGCAAGTTTGGACTTGATTGAGTGATTCTCTCAGCCATGCAAGACACCTCAAAATCTATACTATCAGCCCAGTCAGATATCATAGTATACATTTCACTTTTCACATACCTCATCAAACAAGAGGTGTAAAGTCACATATGAAGTCCCAGAAACTCGAATAGTCAAATCATAGAATAGCTTCAGGTAATCAGTCAACCTGCCCACACTAGAACAATCATTAGAAGTTGTGGTACCAAGGCTTTCCATTCCATATTTTTTTTCATTGAGATGTTTCTTGAATTTCTTATCATTTCTAGCTAATGTCTGAAATGCTTTCTCAAATGGCTTTGCAGATTCCAACATCAGATACGTTGAGTTCCACCTTGTAGCTACATCCAACGAAACAAATTTCTTCGACACTATCTTTTCAAAATCAATGCAATCTTTGAATTTTCTGCTCCTAGCTGGTGTAGATTTAACCCACTTCACAGACTCTCTCACTCGCTCCACAGATTTATCAGTTTCTTTAAGCCCATCCTTCATAGCCAAATTAATAATGTGAGCCACACACCTCATATGCAGATACTTTCCATCCAAAATATCCGATCCCCACTCTTTCAACTGTTCCTTCATATGGATAGCAACCACATCATTGACACTAGCATTGTCCATTGTTATACAAAACACCTTCCTAATGCCCCACTCCACCAAAACAACTAGCCAACTGTTTTCCAATTTCACTTCCAGAATGTTTTGTAACTTGGACAAAGTTAATAATTCTTTTATGCAATTTCCAGTCTCTGCCAATGAAATGAGCAGTAATGCACATATAATTGAGATTGGACAAAGAAGCCCAATAGCATCAATCTGATCGAATTTCCAAGTGTCAAGAGTGTGTACCTGGCCTCCAGAAGATGATAGATGGTCGACTATCAGCTCACCCTTTTCTATCTTTTCAAAACAACTATCTTTATGATTCCGCAGAGTAGAAGTCCCATATCTAGTGGGAGCAATAAGAACACCATTGCAATAAATGCATCTTGCTTTGTCCACTCCATCCTTCTTAAAACGCTTGAAGTGTGGCCAAACGTCAGAATTTTGTTTCCTTTTTCTTGAAATTGTCTCCTCGTCTATTGTTTGAGAAGGAGGTACATTGGTTGTACCGGTAGACGGTACAGGAGCAAGAGCAGGATCGGAAGACGGTGCAGAAGACGGTGCAGAAGCAGGAATGCTGGTACTCTTAGAGCGTCCTCCACGTCTAGAACGAGAAGCCGATGGTGCCTCACTTCCCCTATCAACCAGAGGTTATACCGAATTATACAACTTCAATAAAAGAGTAGATATTATACAACTTCATTCATGATATTGCTTCAATAAAAGAGGAAAAAATATAGACTACCCTACATAATTTCAACAAACACTTCCCAATTTCCCAGCCAAATCAATCATCCTACAACACTAAGGGGTTGTTTGGATGTGGAAATGTAATGCAGTAATTGGATCCAATTACCACATAACGCAGTAATTGGGTTAAAAACCCATGTTTGGGAGAGCAAAAATGGTATGGAATTGTACCATGGAAATTGGCTTCAATTACCACATTCATGGTAATTGAGAATACTACACCTCCCCCTAGTAATTTGACATTACCACGTTTTCTTACTTCTTTTTCCAAATTCCACACCATCAATTCCCACAAAACTAAATCCTATCCAAACGTGAATTTTTTTTTCAATTTCCACAAGTCAATTCCTTGGTTTTGTACAACATGGAAATTCAGACAAATTTCAACGTTTTAAAATTTCCACATCCAAACGACCCCTAAGGCTTTTTCATGTTTTAGTCGCTCTGCTACTAAAAAGTACAAGTTTTCTATTAGCTTCTGTCATACTCTTGTTTTGACTTGAAATTCGCCAGACAGACGGGAAAATTAAGCCAGTATTGGTTCAAACCAAAGGTGTGAAATGCAGCTTTGACAGACACATTTTGCGTTGTGGTCTTGAGCAGGTAGACACAGTTTAAACTGTCTGCACAACCATACGAGTAGTGCGGACTGCTACAACTATAACATGCGATAAGAGGGTACTAACAATTATATTGATGAAGTAGAGTGTCAGATCCCGGTACACAGTAATCCTGCCGCAAGCAAAGCTTCAAACAACTCATTGATGGAAAATACAAATCTAGTTGCAGTTACAAGCAAACTCAAACTTCATTATTCAAGAAATATGTATATCAGCAACCATCATTACACACTTCCGAATTTCCCAGCCAAATCAATCATCCTACAGGCTACAACACTAAAGCTTTTTATTACCAACAAAACAGAGCGAACTGTACTAACTTGAAGCAGCTAATTGGGATTAAAAAAAACAGGATTATCTTGCAACATTAAGAGCAACAGCAACTGGTTCTCAAACAAACAAAAAACCAACTGAGTGGCACAAGATTCAGATCAGATACCAAAAACACGGATGAAATAGCAATACCCAGATGCTGAAAACAACATTATTCAGTCCAACCCTTCCAAAAAAGGGAAACCTACCTAATAAAGGCAACAACTCTCAGCCCTACCAACTGTTCAGAGTCAAAAACTTCCATTCAATATCACAACTAAGCACAAACACAGCGAAAACCCAGATGCTAAATTCGAAACTAAATTAATCATAGAACATAAACGAGGGGCAACAACAAACACTCACCTGCCCTACTTAGACGAGCCAAGTAGAGAAGAAATCAGAACCCCTACAGCAAGTGGATGCCAATCATAATCAAAATTCAGGAAAGGTAAAAGGAGCTTACTGGGATTCCATCTCTGTTTTGTACGGTGATTTAGGATGTGACCAAAGGCAGAAGCTTCGAACCCAGAGGAGTTTGCTACTGGTCGTTGACACAAGATCTGTACTGCTCTCCGGCAGCAAGATGGCGGCTACAGAAACCTAATTGAAGCCTCGAACCCATATGGATTGCTGCATTGCTGGGAGGCAGAGGGAAGGCGAATCGGGAGATGACGAAAATGTAGGCGAGGGAGAGGACGGCGAAGGCGATGTCAGAGATCCCCTCGAGGCCGTTGGCAGCGAGGACGTTGACGGCAGCGAGAAGTTGAACTGAGAAGGGAGGCTCTGTTTTGGCGAAGCCTCGAGTAGTCGAGCAATCGAGCAGAGCAAATCTCCTTTGTCGCAATTCGCAAGGAGATACCCGAACCCTAAGAGGTCCAGAAAACGTCACTGTTTACTCCAATCACAATTCACAGCTTTCGGATTTTTATTGGTTTTCGGGTTACAGAAAACCGGAACCGCTAACTGCTGCTTCGGTTTGAAACAGAAAACCCGAAACCCGACTTCAGTGTTTTCGATTCGGGTTCGATTTAACCCGAAACCGATTGGACATGCCTACTTCTAGGCGGCATAGAACTAAAATAATATTCCATATTACGCACAACTTTATACATCTAAATCCAATTACCCATAATTTATAAACACTCTTTCTCAACAAAATTTTCTCATCCACCAAGATTGTCATTAGAGGAATGTTCTTGTCACAGTGGATGTCGACATGTCGCGATTAGTAATCTCTTACTTACTGGCCATAGAGAAATGAGTTATGTCAAATATGCCTACTCAGTACTCTGATCTCCCGACCACTTGCTGGCAAACTTCCTTCCGGCAGCTGGCTGGCCGGTATCCGTTTATATCAATGAATGAACGCCACTGCATGGCTTGGCCTCTATTCCTTCAGAATTAGCGGCAGAGAAGAGAAGCAAACCCTCCTCCTCACCAGAACTACAATATTATGCATTCGGACTCAGTATCGGCCTTTATTAGTTTTGGTGGAAAGGTGGGCACCCGTTCGACAGGTTACATGGCCTAGCCATACATACAACTCAACCATTAATGGCGTTTGACAGCAAAATCTCAACCAACAAGTGGATGCCATGCCATGATTGAACGACATATGTGCTGACACACCTGAATATATATGCAACTTTAATTTGGACTCAATAATAATAATTATAACTACACCATCTATGGGTAGCAAATTGTATGGCCCCCCGTCGACGGTTTGCTCAACATTTCATACGAGTAGTTGAGATGGGGAACTAGAGAGATCTCCAATTTGTTTAATGGGATGTGACCCACTCAATTGGGTGGATAATTAATTCCATGATCAAAGATTTTGGTGATTTTGGTCTGACATATTAATAATTCGAACATGCAGCTAGCTAGCTAACTAACTAACTACGACTTCCCCTCTATGACATACAATTATAGGAAGTTGATCGTGCGATTACTTTGTTTAATTAGGGATTAATTAATTTCCCTTCGGGGAGGGATCATTAATCTACTATTCTAGTGCAACATGCAGGGGGGATAATTAATCATTCATGCCAACAATAATCATGGTTTGAGCGGCTGCCAAACGTGGTTTATATAATATCTTAGCCACATATAGATCCGTCTTATTTAGGGGATCAGAAGATCATATTCATATGATCGATCACTTTTATTTTTCTCGGCCCACATGACCAATCATTTTGATCGAGTGGTTGTATTATGTAGATCCACATGCAAACCACCATTGTCCTGTGCTTTCCATATGCTTTCACTAATCAAAACTATCAACTTGAGCCGTTAAGGCAATCATTAAACACAATTAACCTTCTTTTAAGAAAATAAGAGAAGCTGTGCCTACTTATTAATTTTATATTTTTTTAATTTAAGGGTGAGTTATTATTATTTTTTTTGACATTTTTCTCCTCCATTTGAATGAGGCTTAACTAATTAAATTAACTACATATTATAGACCATTTTAACTCAAGGAATTGTCTCATTGGTAATGTGGAAAAAAAAAATGAGAACAACTTGATCAATAATCGTTATAAAATAAGAATCTTGATCAATAATCATCTTTACTTTTTCGAAGGAATATTAATAATATTCCATATGGATGTACCCACTTATCGCAACATTCATTGAAATACACCCTCAAGGCATTTCCTACTTATAATATCTTTCTAAAGCAGGCAAGGAAAAGCATAGTATAGCAGCAAATCCCAGGAAATGCATAAACATCAAGCATTCAACACAATAATACTTAGCAACACAATTCAAGAGTAACATTAATTTAACCCTATTTTTCTTATTCACCGCGAGGTCCACTCACCTCTATAATAAAAAGTGAGCATAAAATATTTATTTATTTATAGCGAAGGGACATAAAATATTTAAATGGGAATTATGAGTTTTTAAGAGTTAATGAGGGAACTGGTTCTTTTTACAGCCCATTAAACGGTCATTTAACAAAAAAGTAGACGGAAGGGTATGTTCGTTACGTTTTAATACTAGTAGGATCTGTTCGTGCAAAAAATTAGTAGAGAGCTACGTTTGTTAATTTGCAATAGTAGAAGGGTATACTATTAACCCTTTATAAAATACAAAGAACAAATAAAGGTATATGCAGGTGAAGTCATTATATGCTTGATAACTAATGGAAGAGGAGAATTCAGGACAAGCATATTAAAATCCTTTTGTGAGATCACTATTGTAGAATGGGGCTACTAGGAGGAAAAATAGAAA